AGCGTCGGTCCAGCGTGGCAGTGTGCACACAGCCTGCAGGCGCAGAGCTCATCCTGACGCTTGCCCACAAACTCTCTCGGCGTGCTGCACCACCACTCACACACACAGTGCGCTAACCACTGCACCACCACTCACACACACAGTGCGCTAACCACTGCACCACCACTCACACACACAGTGCGCTAACCACTGCACCACCACTCACACACACAGTGCGCTAACCACTGCACCACCACTCCCCGCACCCACACACACAGTGCGCTAACCACCGCCCCCCCCCCCCACACACACAGTGCGCTAACCACTGCACCACCGCTCCCCACACACACACAGTGCGCTAACCACTGCACCACCGCTCCCCACACACACAGTGCGCTAACCACTGCACCACCGCTCCCCCCCCCCCCCCACACACAGTGCGCTAACCACTGCACCACCGCTCACACACACAGTGCGCTAACCACTGCACCACCACTCACACACACAGTGCGCTAACCACTGCACCCCCCCCCCCCCACGCACAGTGCGCTAACCACTGCACCACCGCTCCCCACACACACACACAGTGTGCTAACCAGTGCACCACCACTCCCCCCACACACAGTGCGCTAACCACTGCACCACCGCTCCCCCCCCCCACACACAGTGCGCTAACCACTGCACCACCGCTCCCCACACGCACACAGTGCGCTAACCACTGCACCACCGCTCCCCACACACACACAGTGCGCTAACCACTGCACCACCGCTCCCCACACGCACACAGTGCGCTAACCACTGCACCACCGCTCCCACACACACAGTGCGCTAACAAGTGCACCACCGCTCCCCACACACACACAGTGCGCTAACCAGTGCACCACCGCTCCCCACACACACACAGTGTGCTAACCAGTGCACCACCGCTCCCCACACACACAGTGTGCTAACCAGTGCACCACCGCTCCCCACACACACAGTGTGCTAACCAGTGCACCACCGCTCCCCACACACACACAGTGTGCTAACCAGTGCACCACCGCTCCCCACACACACAGTGTGCTAACCAGTGCACCACCGCTCCCCACACACACAGTGTGCTAACCAGTGCACCACCGCTCCCCACACACAGTGACCTCACCGTGTGAGCACGTGACGAGGTGGAGGGGCTGCAGGAGCGAGAGGAAGAGGAGGCCAAGGGCGGGGGAGAGTCTCCTGCACGACGCCATCGACTCCACACAAAGTCACGAGGTGCAGGCAGAATCGATTTAAGGTTCGATTAACTACACTCGCGTCGATTCCCATTGGGATAACATGGGAATCGATTCCAGGCGAGTAATGGATGTCTGGAGTCGATTCCCATTGGGATAACATGGGAATCGATTCGCAGTCTAATCGCGTGGGAATCGAACAAGATAGACGAACACGTGGGTAGGCGTGGTTTCTCTCTCAAACTTATCGATCTTTCGATTTATCGATCTTTCACCACTTGTTATTGATCTGTGTAAGATCGTCGCCAGCCAGGTAGGCTGCTGTGGTGTTCTCTACAGCTGTGCCTGCTGCTGGTGCTGGTGGTGGTGGTGCTGGTGGTGGTGGTGGTGGTGCTGGTGGTGGTGGTGCTGGTGGTGGTGCTGGTGGTGGTGGTGGTGGTGCTGGTGGTGGTGCTGGTGGTGGTGCTGCTGCTGCTGGTGGTGCTGCTGGTGGTGCTGCTGCTGCTGCTGGTGGTGGTGCTGGTGGTGGTGGTGCTGGTGGTGGTGGTGGTGCTGGTGGTGGTGCTGGTGGTGGTGCTGCTGCTGGTGGTGGTGCTGCTGCTGGTGGTGCTGGTGGTGGTGGTGGTGCTGGTGGTGGTGCTGGTGGTGGTGCTGGTGGTGGTGCTGGTGGTGGTGCTGCTGGTGGTGGTGGTGCTGCTGCTGGTGGTGCTGCTGGTGGTGGTGCTGCTGCTGGTGGTGGTGGTGGTGCTGGTGGTGGTGCTGGTGGTGGTGGTGCTGCTGCTGGTGGTGCTGGTGGTGGTGGTGGTGCTGGTGGTGGTGGTGGTGCTGGTGGTGCTGCTGGTGGTGGTGCTGCTGCTGGTGGTGGTGGTGGTGCTGGTGGTGGTGCTGGTGGTGGTGGTGCTGCTGCTGGTGGTGCTGGTGGTGCTGGTGGTGCTGGTGGTGGTGGTGGTGGTGCTGGTGGTGGTGGTGGTGCTGGTGGTGCTGGTGCTGCTGCTGGTGGTGCTGGTGGTGGTGCTGGTGGTGGTGCTGCTACTGCTGGTGGTGGTGGTGGTGCTGGTGGTGGTGCTGGTGGTGGTGCTGGTGGTGGTGCTGCTGGTGGTGCTGCTGCTGCTGCTGCTGGTGGTGGTGGTGGTGCTGGTGGTGGTGGTGGTGCTGCTGCTGCTGGTGGTGGTGGTGGTGCTGGTGGTGCTGCTGCTGCTGCTGCTGGTGGTGGTGCTGGTGGTGGTGGTGATCAATAAACACTTTTAAATGTCTGGGACAACTAGTGTTAGTTGCTAGGCCAGGCTGCCTCCATAGGGGCCATTTTGCGTCGTGTTTACTAATATAAATAGTCTAATAGTGTGAAATACACCGTGTTTAATACCACTAGTGTAATAGTGTGGAATGCATTGTGTTTAATACTAAAAATACTGATAGGTTACATCAGCCCACAGGTGCAGGGAGGGGCTGGGTGGGGAGGGAGGGGAGGGGCTGGGTGAGGAGGTGGAGGGTGGGGCAGGGAGGGGCTGGGTGGGGAGGGGCTGGGTGGGGGGTGGGAGGGGTGGGGCTGGGTGGGGAGGGGCTGGTCACCCCGTGGTGCCCTTATAAAACTCAACGTTTCACCTACTCACGCCGGCTTGTGCCCGCCCTCACTGTCGGGCACCTGACCGTTGACCCTGCAGGCCATTGAGCGAGCAACCCAGCGTCACTACCAGCTCCCTCCGCAGCAGCAGGAATGTGTTGTGACGGTGCGGACTGCTGCGTTGTGTTTCACACGACACAGGATTGACGACGGGAGGAGAAGGGCACGGTGGATTCACGGCTCCACAAGCAGCAGCAGCAGGAGCAGCAGCGAGAACTTGCCGGCCACATGTCGCTGCGATGTGTCGCGTTGCTGTTGCTCGTCTCCGTCTCCTTCCAAGGTGATGATCACCGCCGCCGTGACCATCGGCAGCGTCCAGCAGCATCCCCCCCCCCCCCCCATCCGATCGTGGTTCGGCTTCACCGTGTCAATCGTCGTCTGTAGACGCGGAAGATTCGTGGCACCCCGCACACGCGAATTGGCGCTGTACGATGGGGAGTCTTTCTTTAAAAAAAGAGTCGCGATTTGCTGAGTGCTGATTTGCTGAGTGCTGATTAGCTGAGTGCTGATTTGCTGAGTGCTGATTTGATGAGTGCTGATTTGCTGAGTGCTGATTTGCTGAGTGCTGATTAGCTGAGTGCTGATTTGCTGAGTGCTGATTTGCTGAGTGCTGATTTGCTGAGTGCTGATTTGCTGAGTGCTGATTTGCTGAGTGCTGATTTGCTGAGTGCTGATTTGATGAGTGCTGATTTGCTGAGTGCTGATTAGCTGAGTGCTGATTTGCTGAGTGCTGATTTGATGAGTGCTGATGGTTGCTGAGTGCTGATTTGCTGAGTGCTGATTTGCTGAGTGCTGATTTGCTGAGTGCTGATTTGCTGAGTGCTGATTTGCTGAGTGCTGATTTGCTGAGTGCTGATTAGCTGAGTGCTGATTTGCTGAGTGCTGATTTGATGAGTGCTGATTTGCTGAGTGCTGATTTGCTGAGTGCTGATTTGCTGAGTGCTGATTTGCTGAGTGCTGATTTGCTGAGTGCTGATTTGCTGAGTGCTGATTTGATGAGTGCTGATTTGCTGAGTGCTGATTAGCTGAGTGCTGATTTGCTGAGTGCTGATTTGCTGAGTGCTGATTTGCTGAGTGCTGATTTGCTGAGTGCTGATTTGATGAGTGCTGATTTGCTGAGTGCTGATTTGCTGAGTGCTGATTTGCTGAGTGCTGATTTGCTGAGTGCTGATTTGCTGAGTGCTGATTTGCTGAGTGCTGATTTGCTGAGTGCTGATTAGCTGAGTGCTGATTTGCTGAGTGCTGATTTGCTGAGTGCTGATTTGCTGAGTGCTGATTTGCTGAGTGCTGATTTGCTGAGTGCTGATTTGCTGAGTGCTGATTTGCTGAGTGCTGATTTGATGAGTGCTGATTTGCTGAGTGCTGATTAGCTGAGTGCTGATTTGCTGAGTGCTGATTTGCTGAGTGCTGATTTGCTGAGTGCTGATTTGCTGAGTGCTGATTTGATGAGTGCTGATTTGATGAGTGCGACGGGCGACGCTTCGTTGGTTCCTGCACGAAGGTGGATTCCATCGTGTAAGTCGTGATCTAGCCTCGTGTACTGTACACTTCACTATACACTACACTATACACTACACTACTACACTATACACTTCACTACTACACTACACACTACTTTACACTACACTATACACTACACTATACACTACTATACACTACACTATACACTACACTATACACTACACTACTATACACTACACTATATACTACACTATACACTACACTTTACACTACACTATACACTACACTATACACTACGTTACACTACACTACTATACACTACACTATACACTACACTATACACTACACTACTATACACTACACTACGATACACTACAGTAATATACTCTGCACTAATATATACTGCTGCACAATACATTATACACTACACTACTATCCTCTACACTACAGTACTATAAACTACACTATACACTACATACGCTACACTACTATACACTACACTATACACTACACTACTATACACTACACTACTTTACACTACACTATACACTACACTATACACTATACACCACTATACACTACACTATACACTACACTACTATACACTACACTATACACTACACTATACACTACTATACACTACACTATACACTACACTATACACTACACTATACACTTCACTATACACTGCACTAGCAGTCTGCAGCGTGACTTGCGTGCGATGACCGTCATCGCCGCAGGCGTCGAAGCGGCGATCTCCGTGGCGGTGACCCCGCTGGTCGAGGTGGAGCTGGGAAGTCCGCTAGTGATCCCCTGCACGGTCACCGGCTCCGTGGGCGACCAGGTGGTCACCCAGTGGTTCATTGTGAGTAGCGCCACCCCCACCCCCCACCCACACGCACACCGCCGCTTGTCACGCTCGGATACGTACGTCGTATGCCCTGCCCAGAGACTCAGCACTGTCACCCATAGACTCAGCACTGTTACACAGACTCACACTACCCATAGACTCAACACTGTCACCCAGAGACTCAACACTGTTACATATAGACTCAACACTGCTACCCATAGACTCAACACTGTCACCCATAGACTCAACACTGCTACCCATAGACTCAGCACTGTCACCCAGAGACTCAACACTGTTACATATAGACTCAACACTGCTACCCATAGACTCAGCACTGTCACCCAGAGACTCAACACTGTTACATATAGACTCAACACTGCTACCCATAGACTCAGCACTGTCACCCAGAGACTCAACACTGTTACATATAGACTCAACACTGCTACCCATAGACTCAACACTGTCACCCAGAGACTCAACACTGTTACATATAGACTCAACACTGCTACCCATAGACTCAGCACTGTCACCCAGAGACTCAACACTGTTACATATAGACTCAACACTTGCACCCATAGACTCAACACTGCTACCCATAGACTCAGCACTGTCACCCAGAGACTCAACACTGTTACATATAGACTCAACACTTGCACCCATAGACTCAACACTGCTACCCATAGACCCAGCACTGTTACACATAGACTCAACACTACCCATAGACTCAACACTGCACCATAAACTCAACACTAACCCATAGACTCAACACTGCACCATAGACTCAACACTGCACCATAGACTTAACACTACACCATAGACTCAACACTGCACCATAGACTCAACACTGCTACCCATAGACTCAACACTACACCATAGACTCAGCACTGCACCATAGACTCAACACTACACCATAGACTTAACACTACCCATAGACTCAACACTGCACCATAGACTCAACACTGCACCATAGACTCAACACTGTCACCCATAGACTCAACACTGCCACCCATAGACTCAACACTGCACCATAGACTCAACACTGCACCATAGACTCAACACTGCCCACAGACTCAACACTGTCCATAGACTCAGCACTGCACCATAGACTCAACACTGCACCATAGACTCAACACTGTCACCCATAGACTCAACACTGCCACCCATAGACTCAACACTGCACCATAGACTCAACACTGCACCATAGACTCAACACTGCACCATAGACTCAACACTATCCATAGACTCAGCACTGCCCATAGACTCAGCACTGCCCATAGACTCAACACTGCACCATAGACTCAACACTGTCCATAGACTCAGCACTGCCATAGACTCAACACTGTCCATAGACTCAACACTGCACCATAGACTCAACACTGCCCCATAGACTCAACACTGCACCATAGACTCAACACTGTCCATAGACTCAGCACTGCCATAGACTCAACACTGTCCATAGACTCAACACTGCACCATAGACTCAACACTGCCCCATAGACTCAACACTGCACCATAGACTCAACACTGCACCATAGACTCAACACTGCCCCATAGACTCAACACTGCACCATAGACTCAACACTGCACCATAGACTCAACACTGCCCATAGACTCAACACTGCACCATAGACTCAACACTGCCACCCATAGACTCAACACTGCACTATAGATTCAACAATGCCACCCATAGACTCAACACTACCCATAGACTCAACACTGCCACCCATAGACTCAAGACTCAGCACTGCTACCCATAGACTCCAACCCCCCCCCCCCCCCCCCGGCACAGATTTCACAATCTTCTCGAACGAGGATCTCGTACCGCGACGCGCGACTCTTCGTGGCGGACGTGGGCACCGGCTACGAGAGCCGCATCGACGCTCGGCGCAGCGACTCCGCGCTGGCGCTGAGCGCGACGGAGACCGCTGACGAGCGCCACTTCGTCTGCCAGGCACTGGCGGGGCGCGCCGGCGTGGCCGAAGCCACCGCAAGCGTGCGGGTGTTTTGTAAGCGAGCGCACGGGGCCACTTGCTACTCCCCTACTTACGGACGTTGGGACAGAAACTATACACTACACTATACACACTATATATTATACACTACACTATACACTACACTATACACTACACTATACACTACACTATACACACTATATATTATACACTACACTATACACTACACTATACACTACACTATACACTACACTATACACCCTATAGATTATACACACTATACACTACACTATATACACTACACTATATACACTACACTATACACTACTATACACTACTATACACTACACTACACTATACACTACACTACACTATACACACTACACTACACTATACACTACACTATACACACTATACACTACACTATACACACTACATACTACACTATACACACTACACTATACACACTATACACTACACTATACACACTACACACGACACTACACTATACACACTACTATACACACTATACACTACACTATACACACTACTATACACACTATACACTACACTATACACTACACTATACACTACACTATACACACTACACTACACTATACACTACACTATATCACTACACTATACACACTATATCACTACACTATACACACTATATCACTACACTATACACACTATATCACTACACTATACACACTATATCACTACACTATACACACTATATCACTACACTATACACACTATATCACTACACTATACACACTATACACTACACTATACACTACACTATACACCCTATAGATTATACACACTATACACTACACTATATACACTACACTATATACACTACACTATACACTACTATACACTACTATACCTACACTACACTATACACTACACTACACTATACACACTACACTACACTATACACTACACTATACACACTATACACTACACTATACACACTACATACTACACTATACACACTACACTATACACACTATACACTACACTATACACACTACACACGACACTACACTATACACACTACTATACACACTATACACTACACTATACACACTACTATACACACTATACACTACACTATACACTACACTATACACTACACTATACACACTACACTACACTATACACTACACTATACACACTATACACTATACACACTATACACTACACTATACACTACACTATACACACTATACACACTACACTACACTATACACTACACTATACACACTATACACTACACTATACACTACACTATACATTACACTATACACACTACACTATACACACTACACTATACACACTACACTATACACACTACACTATACACACTATACACTATACACACTATATACTACACACTACACTATACAACGTTTCAGAGTCAAGTTGGACTCGCAAGCAAATGGCCGATGACGACCCCGCGACCTTTGACGCACGGAGCGCCCCTCCCTCCCCCCTCCCCCCGTGTCCCTCCCCCCTCCCCCCTCCCCTCGTCTCCCTCCCAGCGGCCCCCATGGTGGCCGTGGCGGCGACCCAGAGGCCCGTGCTGCTCACCCAGCAGCAGCAGCGCCACCACAAGGTGAGCAGCCCTCCGCCCACGGGGACTTTCGCTCTGTCACTTTCCTGCTGGTTTCTCCGCTCCCTGCTGCTGCTTCTGCTGCCTGGGGGTTTTGTTGCCTTAACCGCGTCGCGGAAGCGGCCTCAAATGAGTACCTGGTGCGGTGTGTAAACATCGCCACTGGGGAGACAAAGGCGGCCGGGCGTGGTGCTGGCCTCCCACCCCCTCGTGTACCGTGCCGGGTTTCATAGGTGCTCGCTAACAGCACTTGCCCCTACAGTCTGTTAAGGCTACACGGGGGATCTTTGTTGCGTGTGTTGGTCTGTTTCCCTCTCCTGCAGATCGGTGAATGTTACGTGCGCAACGCTTACCCAGAGCCCCTCGTCACGTGGTACAAGGCGTCCCTGCCCCTGTGGCCATCACCTGGTAAGTGGATCTGTTAGTGAATGTATCTGTTGGTGAATATGTCTGCGATAGTGTAGTGTATAGTGTAGTGTATAGTGTAGTGTATAGTGTATAGTGTAGTAGTGTAGTGTATAGTGTAGTGTATAGTGTAGTAGTGTAGTGTATAGTGTAGTGTATAGTGTAGTGTATAGTGTAGTAGTGTAGTGTATAGTGTAGTGTATAGTAGTGTAGTAGTGTAGTGTATAGTGTAGTGTATAGTGTAGTGTATGGTGTAGTGTATAGTTTAGTGTATAGTGTAGTGTATAGTGTAGTGCAGGGGTCGGCAACCAAAATAACAAGAAGAGCCATTTTTTTCCAATTCGGTACAAAATTCAGTATTTCAAGAGCCGCAATGCATCTATGTACATACGTACTCATCGTCAAGAAGCAGCCCGTAAAGAGCCGCATGCGGCTCCGGAGCCGTAGGTTGCCGACCCCTGGTCTAGTGTATAGTGTAGTGTATAGTGTAGTTTATAGTGTAGTGTATAGTGTAGTGTATAGTGTAGTGTATAGTGTAGTGTAGTGTATACTGTAGTGTATAGTAGTGTAGTGTAGTTCGTAGTGTAGTGTATAGTAGTATAGTGTATAGTGTAGTGTATAGTGTAGTGTATAGTGTAGTGTATAGTGTAGTGTATAGTGTAGTGTAGTTCGTAGTGTAGTGTATAGTGTAGTGTAAACTGCTACGTGGTGCAGGGAGTAAACATCGCCACTGCGGAGACAAAGCCGGCAGGGCGTGGTGCTGGCCACCCACCCCCTCGTGTGACACTCGCTAACAGCACTTGTCCCAACAGTCTGTTAAGGCCACACGGGGGACCTTTGTCTCTGTGTACGTGCGTGTGCGTGGCCAGACGTGAAAGTGACGAGGAAGGTAGTGACGGAGGCCGACGGCACCTTCGCCGTGACGTCCGTCCTGCGCTACAAACTGCGGTGGTGGGATGCGAGAGCCGGCTACCGCTGCGTGGTGAACTACGCCATGCCGGGCGGCAGGAGCGAAGCCGTTGCCTCGGAGACGATCCACGTGAAGGTGCATTGTGAGTACGGGGGGGGGGGGCACCAGACGGAGCGAAGTACAACAGACGGATGTGTATGATGGGTACGACAACAAGACATGCCTGACGGACCATCTTATTGGGTTAAGGCCAAATGAAACACAGAGACTACCGCTACTCGTGAAGATTTGACTCTTGAACGTTCAGAGAGACGCTCAAACCTTTTAGAAAGTCCAGTTGCCTGTTTGGACCGCAATAGATGGCGGAGGTGGCGTCTGCATCTGCAGAACATGAACAACGAGTGGCATCTACATCTGCAGAACAACGGCAATTGGCGATGATTATGACGGTAAGTGGCATTGTTATCAATGACGACGACGTAACTGACGATGATTTGCGATGGTGAGTGGCACCGTGAATCTATGCCGGCGGTGGTGGGATGCGTAGATACACCCCGCGGGAGGGTGGCCCTCATCCTGGAGTCTCACGGCGAGGCGGCCGTGAAGGAGGGCGACACTGTCGTGTTGAGGTGCTATGCTGATGGATTCCCCCCTCCCGAGGTCGACTTCTACCGGGTGAGGCGATGATGACGATGATGATGATGATGACGATGATGATGATGATGACGATGACGATGATGACGATGACGATGATGATGACGACGACGATGCAGACGATGATGACGATGATGACGATGACAATGATGACGACAACGATGATGATGATGATGACGACGATGACGATGATGATGACGACGATGATGACGATGATGACGACGATGGTGATGACGACAATGACGATGATGATGACGATGATGATGACGACAATGACGACGATGATGACGACGACGCAGACGACGCAGACGACGACTGCTGAGCCTGAGCGTTGTCGCCGCTGTGGGCCGCTGCTGCAGCTCGTGCCAACGTGAGATGGAGAGTGGGGTGGAGTGTGAGGTGGAGTGTGAGGTGGAGTGTGAGGTGGAGTGTGGGGGCAGTCACAGGGCAGCCTCCCGCTCTCGGTTGGGGGCAGTGGAACGAGGCTCACAACGGCGACGCCGCGGGAGACATTTTTTTCGTCCCCCCCCCCAAAGAGGCCGTTGAAGTTTGTTTTGCCGCCTCCTCTGCCGTCCCCCCGCTCCCCCGGCTCGTCAGAGCTCCCCGACGCGGGTGGACTACGGCCACGCGGCCGCCGGGAACGCGCTCACCCTGCCCGCCGTCAGCCGCGACCACAGCGGCACCTACGGCTGTCGCGTCCGCGGCGGCCGCGACCCGCCCGACAGCAGCGTGGATCTCCTGGTGCACTGTGAGCGGCGGGGGGGGACGAGGGGGAGAGAGAGACTTTGCGTGAGGCCGCGTTTCTGCGAGCGAGGAGGAGGAGGAGGCGACGTTACGAAAGAAATCGACGGTCTCAGAGTTTTTTGAGCGGATTTTTAAGACGTCCTGGGCCCGGGCGTCAAACCCACGTCGTCGGGAGACGCCCCCCTTTTCCAGCGTCGCGCGTCGGGGAATCCCGGGGGGCGCGACGGCGCGTCGGACGTCGCTTTGTTATCGTCGTCGTCGTCACGAGACGGAGACGCGGCCCCGACTCGGACGTCCGCGACGCGCAAAGAGCTCCGCGGCTCGTCGGATTCCTCCGCACGGACGTTGCGACTGCGAGCAAATGGTGCCGCTTGGCCCGGAGTAAAAGTCGATCGTCTGTCCTCCTCGGCAGACGCGGACAACGTGAAGCCGCTGGGCCCCACCGAGGCGACCCGGCTCACGGCCGGGGACGTCGTGCAGGTGGCCAGCGCCGCCGCCTCGTCCTCGTCGCCCGCCGGGATACCCACCCTCACGTGGACACAGGTGCCCCGTCCGTGTCACCGTCACCCCCCCACCGTGCCCCCAACACCATCACCCCACCGTGCCAACACCGCCCCCCCCACCACCCCCACCACCGCCGACCCCACCGTGCCAACACCCGAGTTTGATTCCCGCTCACAGCCAGCAGCAGCGATTATCTGAACCGGTCCTGGGCCTCCCCTAGGTCTACTCAACCTCTAATTAGTACTTGTAGTCAAGATTGCTAGCACGGGGGAGACAAAGGCGGCGGAGGCGGTGGTGGTGGTGGAGGTGGTGGTGGTGGTGGAGGTGGTGGTGGTGGTGGTGGTGGAGGTGGTGGTGGTGGAGGTGGTGGTGACGGTGGGTGGCATTTATGAAGATGGGAATGAGATGAGTGGATGTTGTGTGTTTATATTGGAGTGCGCGTGGCACCTGCTGGGTCTGCCTCGTGACCTCCTCCTGCCTGTGGGCGTTCGACACTTGGCCTGGCCTCAACGTGCACGTGGCCTGGCACAAGCGCCGTAGTGACGTCACCGCCACTTAGTGGTGTGTGTGTGTGTCGGTGAGTGTACGCGTGTGTGTGTGTGGGTGAGTGTACGCGTGTGTGTGGGTGAGTGTACGTGTGTGTGTGTGTACGTGTGTGTGTGTGTGTGGGTGAGTGTACGCGTGTGTGTGGGTGAGTGTACGTGTGTGTGTGTGTGGGTGAGTGTACGTGTGTGTGGGTGAGTGTACGCGTGTGTGTGTGTGTGGGTGAGTGTACGCGCGTGTGTGTGGGTGAGTGTACGTGTGTGTGGGTGAGTGTACGCGTGTGTGTGTGTGTGGGTGAGTGTACGCGCGTGTGTGTGTGTGGGTGAGTGTACGTGTGTGTGGGTGAGTGTACGCGTGTGCACAACGAGGTGGTGACAGTCGGTGGCGTTAACGAGACAATCGGATTGATGGGGGGGGTGGGGGTGGAGCGTAGGGGAAGAGAGCGATCGCCTTCGATGTCAGCCGTGAGCCCCGAGTGGACGTTCTCGCTCGTCACGGCAGGGCCTGCTCACTTGAGGGAGGACCACCGCTGATGTCCCACAGCACGAGACGGATGTCATTGACCCCTCGAGTCACTGGCTGAGTCATGCCCCCAACCAGGATGTCAATATGCAACCTTCTTGATTGCAAGTCAGGTGCTTTAGCCACTGACCCAACGAGAGACAAGCCGTTACAATCACAAAGGGCGATCGGAAACGCAGTGACGGATATGCAAAACGTTGAGTTTCAGTCGCCCGTCGTCTCCCTGGCGGCGCTCCGCGTCCCCCAGGCGGGGACGGCGCTGTCCGGCGGGGCCACGTTGACCCTTGGGAGCACGACGCCGTCCAAGATGGGCGCCACCTCGCCGCCCTCCGTGCCGGGCCTGGGGAGGTCGCGACCCGTCAAGGTCGCTGTGGGAGGTCACCGGGGCGGTGAGAGGCCGACGACGATGAGTCTCTCTCTCTCTCTCATAGCACCAGCAGAGTCTCCACTCCCTCTCTCATAGCACCAGCAGAGTCTCCACTCTCTCTCTCATAGCACCAGCAGAGACTCCACTCTCTCTCCACTCTCTCATAGCACCAGCAGAGACTCCACTCTCTCTCTCTCATAGCACCAGCAGAGACTCCACTCTCTCTCCACTCTCTCATAGCACCAGCAGAGACTCCACTCTCTCTCTCTCATAGCACCAGCAGAGACTCCACTCTCTCTCCACTCTCTCATAGCACCAGCAGAGACTCCACTCTCTCTCTCTCATAGCACCAGCAGAGACTCCGCTCTCTCTCTCTCTCATAGCACCAGCAGAGACTCCGCTCTCTCTCTCTCTCATAGCACCAGCAGAGACTCCACTCTCTCTCCACTCTCTCCACACTCTCTCCACACTCTCTCTCTCATAGCACCAGCAGAGGCTCCACTCTCTCCCCACTCTCTCTCTCATAGCACCAGCAGAGGCTCCACTCTCTCCCCACTCTCTCTCTCTCATAGCACCAGCAGAGACTCCACTCTCTCTCCACTCTCTCCCCACTCTCTCCACACTCTCTCTCTCATAGCACCAGCAGAGGCTCCACTCTCTCCCCACTCTCTCTCTCTCATAGCACCAGCAGAGACTCCACTCTCTCTCCACTCTCTCCCCACTCTCTCTCTCTCTCATAGCACCAGCAGAGACTCCGCTCTCTCTCCGCTCTCTCTCCGTGCTCTCTCCCCGCTCTCTCCCCGCTCTCTCTCCGCTCTCCACGTTGTCTCCTCTCTCCCCGCTCTCTCTCCGCTCTCCACGTTGTCTCCTCTCTCCCCGCTCTCTCTCCGCTCTCCACGTTGTCTCCTCTCTCCCCGTTCTCTCCCCGCTCTCTCTCCGCTCTCCACGTTGTCTCCTCTCTCTCCGCTCTCTCTCCGCTCTCTCTCCGCTCTCTCATAGCACTAGCAGAGACTCCACTCTCTCCCCGCTCTCTCTCCGCTCTCTCTCCGTGCTCTTCGTCCACACCGTCTCTCTCTCTTTGTTGTTCCCACTCGCAGGAGGAGCGCAGGAAGCAGACGCATCGGGACGTGGGCTGCCGTGGCTCATCATCATCCTCAACCTCCTCCTCGTTGTCGTCCCCCCCCTCTTCCTCGTCTTCTGCGTTTGGGCGCTTCGTCACGTTTGCTCGAGAGAGCCGCGAGAGGTCGCGGTCGTGGCCAGCGAGCGAAGACGCTGACCGCACGGCGGCGGTGCGGCAGCAGCAGCAGCACAGATCCCAGTGAGCGCCCACCGGCCGCTGGGCGCGACGTGCGATCACTGACGAGGTGGTGGTGGTAGTGGGGTGATGGTGGTGGTGGTGATGGTGGTGGTGGTGATGGTGGTGGTGGTGATGGTGGTGATGGTGGCAGTGGTTGTGGTGGTGGCGGCGGCGGTGGTGGTGGTTGTGGTGGTTGTGGTTGTGGTGGTTGTGGTGGTGGTTGTGGTGGCGGTGGTTGTGGTGGTGGTTGGGGTGGTGGTGGTTGGGGTGGTGGTGGTTGTGGTGGTGATGGTGGTTGTGGTGGTGGCGGTGGTGATGGTGGTGGCGGTGGTGATGGTGGTGGTTGTGGTGGTGGTTGTTGTGGTGGTTGTGGTGGTGGTGGTTATGATGGTGGTGGTGGTGGCGGTGGCGGTGGTTGTGGTGGTGGTTGTGGTGGTGGTTATGATGGTGGTGGTGATGATGTGCGTTGCATTAGCACTGCACTGAGATTGACGTCCCACAGTGGTCTATAGTAAAGGCTGTCACGAGTTCAATCTGCCTCGTGATTTACAATGCCATTTACGTATGCACTTTTAAAACATTAGATTGACAACTCACTTGTTTAGAAGTGAGTTTTGTGTTTAGTTTGGTGTCGTTCCCTCTCACCGCTGCGAAACAAGTTCAACACGCTGCACACGATGTACACATCTTTAGCAGGCCACTGGAACCGGCTTGTCTCTCTCATTACCTCTCGCTGTGCTGTATCCGTTCATGTCTGCCTCTCTCTCTGTCAGCATGCTTGGCCATACATCTGCAGTGGGCAGAACGGAGAGCGAGACTTCTTTAGAGGCAACACGTTTATTATAACAACGTGACCCTAACACGAAGGGATAACGGCCCCTTCCACTCGATACTCGACGTAGGTCACGGCTTTGGGTCTTCAAGTACTACACGACAACAGCCAGCCGGACACGCTCAGGGCTCCTCCGGCTTGTATAGTCAGTCCCGGCTCTGGAGCAGACCGGTGGACACGGCAGCCAAAGGAGAGAATTCCACCCCGCGAAGACGTCCAAGAGAGAGATGGAGCGATTAGCTCGGCTCGTGTGCAGGCGATGGATTCTGACGACATCCTAGGACTGAGAGTGGGGGTTGGGACTTCATACAGCAGTGGGTAGACAATTGCTGGTCACGTGGCGATGTACTACGTGAGCTTGCATTGTTTGCAATAACCCGTAGATTCACAGGGAGGCATTCTTCCAGACACGACCGACAAAACGATTGTTTAATTGTCAAGGGCTGGAACATCTTGCCAAGAGCTGGAACATCTTGCCAAGAGCTGGAACATCTTGTCAAGAGCTGGAACATCTTGTCAAGAGCTGGAACATCTTGTCAAGAGCTGGAACATCTTGTCAAGAGCTGGAACATCTTGTCAAGCGCTGGAACATCTTGCCAAGAGCTGGAACATCTTGTCAAGCGCTGGAACATCTTGCCAAGAGCTGGAACATCTTGTCAAGAGCTGGAACATCTTGCCAAGAGCTGGAACATCTTGTCAAGAGCTGGAACATCTTGTCAAGAGCTGGAACATCTTGCCAAGAGCTGGAACATCTTGCCAAGAGCTGGAACATCTTGTCAAGAGCTGGAACATCTTGCCAAGAGCTGGAACATCTTGTCAAGAGCTGGAACATCTTGTCAAGAGCTGGAACATCTTGACGACGATGGAGATGGCCGAGTATCCCAGTGTAGGACGACAGAGCTTGGGCGATCGTCTGCGGCTTTTTGCCCCCTCCCTGTCGCCCTCGGAGAGGGGGGCGAGCGAAAATTGCGCGCCTTTATAAACCTACGTGTACGCGATGTTCACGCTTGTGTGTAAGCTGTCAATGAACGTGCACACACACGAGAGAACAAAACAATATTGACAGAAACTTGAACAGGCCGCCGCCTGCGATTAACCAAGTGCATTGACACCATTGGAACCTCATTTGCCAGTAAAAAATATGATAATTGGTTTTTTACCCTTCTATCTGGCAACAAAACTGACACCTTTTTTTACAAGGAGTCATGTTTGTATAGACCACAATACCTGCAGTCATAATGCAAACAAAAAACACAACTCTGATAATGTATGCACTGTCCTTGAAGTTGAGTGACCTGCGCCTTTTGGCGTCATCTGGACCAACCCATGTGAGACTAGGCTCTAAGGAAAGCTGTCTCGGGTGTGGACATCTGCTCCTGTGGTTCTGTGGGGGTGGGCGGGGTTGGCGATCTCCAACGGGGCAGGATTCCTCCCCCCCCCCCCCCCCCACGAGGATACAGACGGCGACAAACGGAGACAAGAACGCGCTCCGATTAAGGTGCGAACGGGCCGTGTTAGTGAAATGGCAAAAGCCTAAAAACGTACAAACTGCAGCAAGTATCCGGAACAGCAAATATGAACGGCCAAATGTCCCAAGCATGAACGTCAAACGACAAAAGCCACTTCCAGAGCGAGGCGGCTTCAGTGTGCGGCGACTTGACCGAGCACATCGCGTGCGTCAACGGGGAGTGCTGGAGGTCAGCGGCCCGGCGGCGGACCCAAGTTTCACTCGCGACCGTGGCCAACATCAGCGGCAGATGATATCGGTCCTGGGCCTCCCCTAGGTCGACTCGGCCTTAAAACGAGTTACCTGGTGCGTGGCCGGGCGTGCAGATCGTCACGCCAGCCCCCCCCCCCCCCCCCATAGCTGCCCCCCTACCATCCTGGACAGGCGCTTGCCAACAGCACAGCCAGTTAACGACTACGGGGGGTTGGTGGGGGGGTGGTGGGGGGGTGGAGTCACTGCACACCGCCCCACAACGCCGGTGACACAGGTTCAATTCAGACCATGGCCGCCACCGTTTCACTGATTAGCATCCGAACCTGGCATGGATCACAACCCCCCCCAACCCGCCCCACCCACCTCCCACCCACCCCCCCCACCCACCCCCACCCACCCCGCCCCCCCACCCACTCAACCACCTCACCCCCCACCCACCCCGCCCCCCACCCACCCCCCACCCACCCTGCCCACCCCGCCCCCCCCACCACCCACCCACCCCCCACTCACCCACCCCCGCCACCCCACCCCCCCCTAATCACACTGCAGGTCGTTGAGTCGCACGTCGAGGTCGGCGGCGGCCATCTTGCCTGCGGCCATCTTGCCTGCGGACACGCTGAACGGAGCCGCCTGTGGCCGGCAGAGCTGCGGGGGGGTGGGGGGTGGAGGGGGTGGGTGGGGGGAGACACACGGAGAGAAAACAGCGACGGTCAAGCGCACGCACACGGAACACCGCCACTCGCACAAAGACAAAGGTCCCCGTGCAGCCTTCACTAATTGGAGGGGCGAGTGCCGTCAGCGAGCGGCACCTACGAAGGCCGCCGGCGCCGTGGCGCACGAGGGGGGGTGCGGGTGGCAAGCACCACCACACCCGGCCGCCTTTGTCTCTCCCCCAGTGCTAGCGATGTTCACTACACACCGCACCGGGTACTCGTTTGAGACCGAGTCGACCTAGGGGAGGGCCCAGGACCGGTTCAGATCATCGTCACCGGTGTTGGCCGTGGCGCTGACCGCTGCACTCCCGCAGACACAGAGAAGACCGCCAGCCACGCGGCGCAGCTGTGGAGGTGGCAGCGAGGGCTGGTGGCTCGCCGGGAGCAAGCGGTGCAGGCAAGCGCGCACTGAACGCCACCCGTTGCATCTGCATGGGATAGAGTGTTGCCCCCTCGCACGCGTTGGGCATTCTCTGGGTGATTCAGTTTCCTCCCACGTGTATTAACGGTCGTTAGTTTACTGAAATTTGCTTAATAAATCAAGGGCTGCAGAACCCAGGCAATTGTTGGTAGCACCGTCTCCTGGCTGCTGCTGCCTTCCCCCACTACTCGTCCACGCTGCCTCCTCGTGCTCTCTCCATTCGACGGCGATGAGCGAAATGCCGGTGGGGAGGAAGGCAACGGCAGTGGCACAGCGGCACAAGTTGAAATTACAAATAACAACAATAATCGTAATAAGAGACCCGAGAAAAGCCAGAACAGCTCCCATGCTGTAAACACGCGTCGAGGCTTCGGCGACATCGGCGACGCGCGCGAGTCGTGCCGCGTCTACGAGCGGCCACTTTGCCCGTGGACGCACCGCGCCAAACCCTATCAAACGACGTAATTGTCTCCGCTTTTCTGATCCGACAACTCGCCGTTCTTCACGCTCCGCACGGCTCGGGGTCCGGCGGTCGTGCGCTCGCTGCAGAGGTTCGTATCTGGCGGGGCCACCCTAGTAATTACTGCGGTGTGTGTTATCACTCGGCGGGATGTCTGGGTGGGTGGCTGGGTGGATGTCTGGGTGGGTGGCTGGGTGGATGTCTGGGTGGGTGGCTGCGTGGATGTCTGGGTGGGTGGCTGGGTGGCTGGGTGGGTGGCTGGGTGGGTGGGTGGCTGGGTGGATGTCTGGGTTGATGTCTGGATGGGTGGCTGCGTGGATGTCTGGATGGGTGGCTGGGTGGGTGGGTGGCTGGGTGGGTGGGTGGCTGGGTGGCTGAGTGGCTGGGTGGGTGGCTGGGTGGGTGGGTGGCTGGGTGGGTGGGTGGCTGAGTGGGTGGCTGAGTGGGTGGCTGGGTGGGTGGCTGGGTGGGTGGCTGAGTGGGTGGCTGGGTGGGTGGCTGAGTGGGTGGCTGGGTGGGTGGGTGGCTGAGTGGGTGGTTGGGTGGGTGGCTGGGTGGGTGGCTGGGTGGCTGGGTGAGTGGGTGGGTGAGTGGCTGAGTGGGTGGCTGGGTGGGTGGGTGAGTGGGTGGCTGGGTGGGTGGCTGGGTGGGTGGCTGAGTGGGTGGTTGAGTGGGTGGCTGGGTGGGTGGCTGGGTGAGTGGGTGGCTGGGTGAGTGGGTGGCTGAGTGGGTGGCTGGGTGGGTGGCTGAGTGGGTGGCTGGGTGGGTGGCTGGGTGGGTGGCTGAGTGGGTGGCTGAGTGGGTGGCTGAGTGGGTGGCTGAGTGGGTGGCTG